TTCTTCATTGATCTCATTGTTGACCCATCCATTGTTTAATAACATGTTATTTAGCTTCCATGTCTTTGTATATTCTTCAGTTTTCTTCTTGTGATTGATTTCTAGTTTCATAGAATTATGGTCAGAGAAGATGCTTGCTATGATTTAAATCTTAAATTTATTGTGACTTGTTTTGTGTCCTAACATGTGGTCTATACTAGAAAAGTTCCATGTGCACTTCAAAAGTATGTACATTCTGCTGCTTTGGGGTGAAATGCTCTGAAGATATCAATTAAATCCATTTGATCTAGTGTGTCATTTAAGGTCACTGTCCCCTTGTTGATTTTCTGTCTATAAGATCTATCCATTGAAGTCAAGGGAGTGTTAAAATCCCCTACTACGTCTGTATTTTTGCCAACCTTTCCCTTTATGTGTATCAGGATTTGCTTTACACATTTAGGTGATTCTATGTTGGATTCATAAATGTTTACTAGAGTTATAACCTCGTGTTGGATTGTTCCTTTTATCATTATGTAGTATCCTTCTTTGTCTCTTATATCCATGGTTTTAAAGTTTATTTTGTCAGATATAAGAATTGCTACTCCAGCTTTTTGCTCTTTCCATTCATATGAAATATGTTCTTCCATCCTTTTACATTTAGTCTGTGTATATCTTTTGTTTTGAGGTGGGATCTTGGAGGCAGCATATATATGGGTCCTCTTTTCTTATCCACTCAGCTACCCTGTGTCTTTTTATTGATGCATTTAATCCATTTACATTTAAAGTGATTATTGATGGATACATATTTGTCATTTTATTTAATTATTTTTCTCTGGGTTTCTTGCCCTTCCCCTTCCTCCTCCTCATCTTTAAGCTTTGTCATTTAAATTATGTTTTTAATATTCTCTCCTTGTCTTTAAGCTTTGACATTTTAATTATAATGTACCTTGGTGTGGCCTCTTTGGGTACCTTTTGTTTGGGACTCTCTGTGCTTTCTGGACTTGTGTGTCTTTTTCCTCCTCCTCCTCCCACTCACCCTCTTCCTTCTCCTTAAACAGTTGTTTCAATACTGATTTGATGGTAACAAACTCCTTTAGCTTTTTTTTTTAAAAAAAACATTTTATTTATTTATTTTGAGACAGAGGAGAAGGGAGGGAGAGGGGGAAAGAAACATCAATGTGTGGCTGCCTCTCGCACACCCCCTACTGGGTACTGGACCTGCAACCCAGGCATGTGACCTGACTGGGAATCGAACTGGCAACCCTCTGGTTTATAGGCCAGTGCTCAATCCACTGAGCCACACCAGCCAGGGCCCCTTTAGCTTTTCTTGTCTGGGAAGCTCACTATTTCTCCTTCACTTTTAAATAATAGCCTTGCTGGGTAAAGAAGCCTTGGTTGGAGGTTCTTGCTTTCATCGCCTTGAATATTTTGTGCTAATCCTTACTGGCTGAAATGTTTCTCTTGAGAAATCAGATGACAGTCTTATGGGAGCTCCCTTGTGGGTAACCAACGGCTTTTCTCTTGCAGCTTTTAAGATTCTCTCCTTGTCTTTAAGCTTTGCCATTTTGCCATTTTAATTATGATGTGTCTTGGTGTGGGCCTCTTTGGGTCTATCTTGTTTGGGACTCTCTGTGCTTTCTGGACTTGTGTATTTTTTCCTTCAACAGGTTAAGATTTCAATCATTATGTCTTCAAATAGGTTCTTGATCCCTTGCTTACTTCCCTCTCTTTCTGGTATTCCTATGATGTGGATGTTGTTACGCTTCATATTGTCATAAAGATCCCTTAAACTATCCTTGTTAATTTTTTTTTTTTTTGGCTGGTCTGCTTAGGAGCTTTTTTCTACCCTGTCTTTAAAATCATTGTTTAAATCCTCTGCTTCTTCTAACCTACTGTTTATTCCTTCCAGTGCATTATTTATTTCAAATATTGCATTCTTTATTTCTGACTGGTCCTTTCTTATGGTTTCTATGTCTTTTCTCATGCTGTTGGGCATCCTTATAATCATTACTTTAAATTCTATTATCTGATAAATTGCTTGCCTCCAATTAATTTAGTGAGGGGAATCCCGTCCTGAGGAGTTCTCCCGGTCGCGGATGAGGAAATGAGTCATCTCAGACACAATTTGTCTGGCGGGAAAGGGGGTGGCAATTCCCTCTAGTGGAGAATGCCCCAAACCCTTCCCTGAAGTGACTTTTACTGGAATCAGTACATGCATGGGGTATACAGCATGCATGCAAAGCTTATCAATCAATGCCTAAAGGCCATAGTTACAGAAAACAGATATGGTTCATAGATAACAATGGAAGGAACACAGAGACTTGCCTCAGATCAGGGTCTGTTAGAAATGCTGACACCATGTGGCCATTAAAGCATGGCTCCTGAATTCAGGAATTCATTCCTTCTGTTTGGAGCTTAAACATCTGGTTTATATTAACAGAGCTCTACGAAGCAAAGCAAGCTTCAAAGGGTACAATGCATTCTTCAGGCCTGGTTTCCCACGGGAACCCTTGGTGCTAGCATCAGATCATGTCTGCCTCCTGCATTCCCGGCATTCTGGTCGAGACTTACAGGCATCTTTCAAGGCCTTGCTTGTGCAGGGCTACAGTTTCCAATACCACACAAAGTGGTCCCCAACAACTTAGTTCTTATTCTGGAGAATCTTTTGTTCTTTCACTTGGGGCCTGTTTGTTTTCCCATTTTTTTGCTGTCTGTTTGTGTTTGTTTCTATGTATTAAGTTGATCTGCAAAGACTCTCGGGCAGACCTACATCAGGCATCGCCTTTGTCTGGCTCTGTGCTACCTGTTTGGAGCTGTCTACGATCCACAGCTTGTGGCTTCTTTTGTTGGGCCTGGATGAGTGCAGAATGAACCAGGCTGTGCTCCAAGGCTAGCTTTTACCAGCACTGGCCAGGGAGAGGGTCAGGTAATGTGTCAGAAGTCCCGCTGATTCGCCTTTGCCTGAGGGCTTTTTGTTAGGCTTAATCACTGAAGGTTCCTCCAACTGTATTCCTCAGCAGCTGGTCTTAAGCTCCACAGGGCACGGCAGAAGGATTACTGTGGGTGGGGCTATTGCCACTCAGAGTGTAGTGCTCTGCCTGAGAAAGGTGGCCTCTGCTGTATGGGGAATGACTCAGTACAAGGATCCTGGCATCTGTTCCTTCATTTCTTTCCCCAGAGCCACCAGCCCAACTCTCCTCATGATTTCTCTAATCCACTCTGCCCACCCTCTGCCGGAGCCCAGGATAAGTGGCTAGAAACAAAATATTGTGCACTGGCTCTTTAAGAGGCTCGCTGAGTCTCTAGCCTTCTCTCCCTTTGAGACATAAACCCTCCTGCTTTTCCCAGCTGGATGTCATCTGGGTTCTTTCTGGCTCTGGTGCTGTAGGCTGGGGAGCCCAGCTTGGGGTTTAGACCCCACACTTCTCAGGGGCAACTCACCAGACACTGAAATATCTGTCCAGAGCTCAGCTGCTGTCCATGGGAGTGCAACCAGGCAAATTTCTCATGCCTCCTTCGCACTCCCTACCAGTCACATTGCGGTAAAGTGGTTTCTTCTGTCTGTCCGTGGTTATAAGGCTTCTCCCAGCTAGTGTTCAGTTGATTACTCAGGATAATTTCTTGTCTACAATTTAGTTCTAATTCCAGATTGGTCTTGGTGGGGTGGGGGGTGGTTAACTGTACCTTCCACTTACTCCTTGGCCATCTTGGGTCTTATGTTCATGTAATTTCTATTGTTAGAATGCCCTTGTAATCCTAGAGAAACTGTTCAGGTCAATGTATTTGTGTTAGTGCAGTGATATATTTTTTTTAGTTTGTTTGGTGTTGTCTAGGTTACCTTAGCTTGATTAAATGAATTCTGAAGACTTTCCTATTTTCCAATATTTTGAAATAGTTCAAGAGTTAGGCACTAGTTAAAGATGATAAAAACATTTTATTTAGTACTATTGCAATAAAGGAGAGAGACTTCAATAAAACCAAACTCAACTCCCAATACAGCAAAGACAACTGGGGATTAACAGCAAACAGGCAGATTAAGAGGGTCAGTGGATGGAAAATTACCAGAAGTAGACAGCAAATTTGGGGTGTTCTTGCTAAACTCACCTGACAGGATCCTTGTTATAGGCAGATCAAAGATTTAGACATCAAGAATAGGGGATTAGGAATTTGAACAGATATTAAGAATGGGGATTCTACCTAAACTGATTTAGTAGGACCCTTGCTAAAACTGAGCTCCATAGGCCAAGAACTGGGTCCAGGGACCAGGCTGGTAGAAAAGAGGGCCCAGAGAAAACTGTCTAAAGTTTGGTCAAGGGTTAAGTCTTTGTCCCAGCAACAGAAACAGGCAGAGGAAACCAGCAGTTATTTTTTTGAAAACTAAATATTACACTCTAAATTACCATATCGATCTGCCCCATGAGACATGTACTTCTCCAAGTTCCAGCCGCAGAACTTGCTGAATGTACCAACTCTGGAGACATTTAACTGGAGATTTCGTCTGCATTCTGTATAGTGATAATCCTGAAGTCCTTAGAACTTGACACTGAGCTAGGGGTACCGGTTCAGTAACCACTATTCACATGGAGTGCCCACTAGGAACCCCAGATATTTCTATCGCTTCTCCTTCTGACAACTCTGCACGGGACTCTCCTGGACTCCCTTCATTGCAGAGGAGGAAAGTGATGCTCAGCTAAGGCTGTAAGCTCCTCCCCTCCCCACGGATCGGGCACCGTGAGGCACTAAGGAGGGGCTTCTTTAGGATTGTCGGGGTAAGGTCTCGGTACAGACCGTTCCCAGCTTGACGAGCAGCAATGCCACATCCACGGGACCCATTCTTGGAGCCCACACAGTCCATCGGCCCGGCGGTGGGCCAGAATCAGATCGCCAGAACCGGACCGCCATCCCTCTCCAACCCTACTCGGGCCTGCGCTTGCGCAACACCTCTCTGCTCCGGACTGCGGTTGCGCACTCCAACGCTTGCGCGAAGGCCCCGCAGCCTTGTGGGAAATGTAGTCCGGCGTCCCTGGGAGGTTGCGGGCGGGACGACGTCCGCATTGGCTTCTCCTGCTTGTGCTGGGTGCTGGGAGAGGGTGAGTGCAGGATTGCGGCTAGATGCGCTGGGTCTGGCGGGGTGGTAAGCGCCGGGCAGAGGCCTGGGCCGGACGAACCCCGACGGCCTTGCGGTGGGCGGCGGAGGAGCTGGGGTCGCGTCTTGCGTACCCGTGCGCAGTGCCGGGCCGCTTGCTCCACGGGCGCCCCTGCTCGCTCCGGGCGCCGGGAGGCGGGCCGGTTTGAGGCGGGGCATTGGGGAGCAAGGGGCGCCGAGAGCCGAGGACCACCGGACGCGGTCCTTCCACCACCTGCCTTAGCAGCTGCGAGGGCGGGGTAGCGCGGCGGCCGGGGTCCGTGCGCCAGAGAGGGATCCTCGGTTCCTTCCGCCGCGGGCTTTCCCAGGGACCCGCTTGGCAGTCGGGGATGCTGGCCCGGGTGCGGGGCTCCAGGCTCCAGCCCTTGCCCTTTGTGTAAACCGCACTTCAGTGCGCGCCGCTGATTACCGATTTAGAGGGGCGCGGCGTGGGCTCGCCGTGTCCCGTTTCTCCGTCGGAATGGGAGGCCAACCCTTTGCAGGTTCTCTGCCTCGGGGAATCCGTTCCTCCTCTTCCTTCTAATTTTTTTTAAAACCATTTTTTCCCCCTTCTTACAACACAAAGTTCACTATAGGACAACTAGAAAATTCCGAGGAGTAAAAAGGAAAAAATTATTTGCATGTCGGAGGGTTTGTGTGTATGAACATGGAAACTCTTTGTTCGTAAAGATAGGGATATTAGTATCCTTTTGTCCATTTGCTTTTAAAAATGAGTTATGAAATACATTTGGTAAGGGGTTTAAAATGAACAAATCTTAAGCTTCATGGTTTTTTAAAAAAATAAATGTTTTTATCCACGTTAGTACCACTCAGTCAACATGGAGAATACACCTAAAAAAATATAATATTTTGAAAACACCTGCTTATACCAATTTCTAAAAATAAGTTGTCATTTTAATGAGTGTGAGGAAAAGCATGTCTCTGCTGTATTTAATCCTTTCTTTAGGCCTTTGTGTTCTTTCTCAGGTTTTGTTTTCAGTATTATAAACAATGTAGGCCGCCTGGCTACATAAACCTCTGCATTCTTGTCTCATTCTATAAATCTCTTGAAGTGAAATTTCTGGGCCCTACTCTACTATAACGCTCTTGATACCTCTTGTTGTATTCTGTCCAGCAAGGTAGCAGTTGATAACATTTGCAATGTAACCATGCCGGAGTGACTCATACCAAACCTGGCTTACTGTCCTCTAATTTTCTGAGAGGTGCAAGTGATAGGCTTGTTCAAATATACGTTTTGAATACTAATGAATATTTTTATGCTATTTGCGTTTTGTTTTAGATGTTTTTATCTGATACACAGGTGTGTTCCCTTGCTGTGCAGAAATGTCACATTTTCATATGGTCAGACCTGAAAACCTTGCCTTCACCTTTGGGACTTTGGCATCATTACGCCTTCTAGTCCATTATGATGGTCACAGAAATGCTCATTTGCATTTTCTTCTAGTTCTTTAGTTGCATTTTATGTGCAAATTTTTATTTCCCAAACAGTAAGCCCTTCTTCCAAGTTATTGAATAATTCATCCTTTCCTCACTGATGTGAAGTTCATTTTTTTCATGTCCTGAATTCTTACATATAATTTTTTTCTGAACTGTTTGTGTTGGCAGGAGTTTTATGGTTCCATTGACTCTTGTTCCCCTTTACATGATAACATACATGAGAATAGAGGAATTACCTGTTTGCGACTGCATTCATCTCTCCACCCAGAGGTGCTAGCAGGGCCAGCGCCTCTCAGGGAGCACGAACAGTCACATCTCTGCCTGGTACAGTCACGATGATCACACATCAGCCTAATAATACGAACAGATGATTGGTACACAGTGGGTTGTCAACAGTACATCTGGTGAACGAGTGATTCTGCTGCTCAGTAGCACTCTGCTCTGATTGTAGTAGCTTCATACTATCTGGTGGGCAAGTTCTTGCTCATCACAATTCCTTTTCAAAATGTTGTGGCTGTTGTTATGCAACACAAATTTTTAAAAAATCGTCTTTTTCGTAATTAACTTTAAAATATTATTAGTTTAGTGTAATTTGTATGTCTCACTTTTGATACACACATGCACACACATATATATGCCAAATAAGCTTACTAAATAAGTAAAATAAGCTTACTAAATAAAAATCACAGTTTTCCTTATGTAGATCATGTACACATGTCATTTGCTTTATCTGTCAGTATTTTTTGTTGTTGAGGAAGTCTCCTTTCTCATGGCTTCTTTTCTTTCTGCCAGCTCGGCCCCCTCCTCCCGCCCGCGCCCTAGGAAGGACCCCTTGGGAAGGAAGGAGAAGGCAATGGCTGCTGGGCCTCCACCATCGGGAGCTCAGGTGAGCTCATTTTTCAATCTCTACACTCTCTCACATTCCTTGCCCCTGTGCTGCAGGTGGGCTTCGCTGAGGAGGAAGGGCTGTTGCGGTCTCTGAGTGTCGGCTGTTTTCAGCAGAGCTCCCCTCAGTTCCCTTCAGCTCTGTTCTCGCCTGTCAATTCCTCATTCGTCTGGCCTCTTGAGCTCATGGCGCTGTTCCAGTGTCAGAAAAGGAACAAACATCATAGGAGAGATGGTCCTGGTACTTGAGGGCTAGGGCCTCTCAGGGAACACAAAAAGTCATGTCTCTACCAGGTACACTCATGATGATTGCACGTGAACAACATGGTAAGAACAGGTGCAGTGGGTGCGCAGCCTGCCAGTGTTCCAAGACCTGGGGAAGGGGAAGACCGGCGTGGCCACCGGGAGAAGTGGGGCGGGGTGGGGGTAACGGGAGAGGATCCGCTGCAATGCAGTTAGAATGTCCCGTTTCAATCCTGACTTCACCATTTAATACCTGCATTGTCTTAGGCAAGTGACTTGAGTTCTCTGAAGCATCAGTTCCTCGTCGTGATGATAGAAATAACAGGTTAACTGAGGGTATGCCCCTTACGTGACGTTGGTAAGAATTTCACATGGTGTATTCCATTTAATACTATCTACCTCATAAGTTTTTTGAAAGTTCAAATGAAGTCACGTCAGTAAAAAGTGTCCGGCGTGGTTCCTGGGATGTTGAAGCCCTAGATGGGTGGAGGCACCCTTAGCACCATTCCAGCAAGAGCGTGGTGTTGACAGAGTTCAGAGGTGGAGCGGAACGAGGCCTTGACTGGCAGTGGGGAGTCAGGTGCGCCGTTTGGGGCCAGGAGCCGGGAAGGAGGAAACTGTGTGTCAGTGAGGTGGTGGCGTGGAGTGGCGGGAGCGTGATGAGGGAGCTGGCGTAGCACTTTTCCAGGAAGAAGCGGCGTCCTCTCGCTGGAGAAAATCATGGGACGGAGGCAGTGTGTGAGGAGAGGAACCTTGGCGGTCCTGTCTTGATTGCTTTAAAATAAAGCCTGCAACTTTTTACTAGAACCTGGAGTTACTGCTTCCCCCGAAAAGGAACTAAGACATCAGTGGGACTTGGCCCAGGAGACCGTACATTTTGCTTAATGTTTTTCTTTTTAAGGTTAGGCTGACTTCACTGTGTCGGCAGTCCTGAGGGACTCACGGTCTTCTCTGTGCTCATGAGATCACGCGTGAGGCTTCTCTTACACGTGCCGCTTGTTTATGTACCGCAGGAGCTGGTTTTAAGAAGGCTTCACCGAGACAAGTATTAGCTGTTGTGATTTCTGTTGTATTACTTTCTCTCCCCGATATCATCAAGCTCAGCTATAAAAGGCAACACAACTCACAAAAATGGGTGTTAGAGAAAGGAAGTTTCTAAAGAAGGAATAAGTTAAAGTGGGAGCATTCAGAATATTTTGGTTGATGAAGGTTGTGGTTTTGTTGTCACTAGCCTTGATTTTATTTTACTTAGTTAAAATAGTGTCAAATTTTTAAATCAGCTTTATTGCAGGTATAATTATCTGATACACAGGTAATCCTTTTGAGCTTATCATTCATTCATTAAGTTTTGACAAATATATGCACCCGCCCCCGCCCCCGCCAGTGGAGCTGTGGAACATTTTCTCACATTTTCTCACCCCCAGCCCCTTCCGGTCCATGCCTGCGTTCAGGCAGCCGCTGGTTTGATTTCCTAATACTTCAGTGTGTCCCAAAAACAAGGCCCTTGTTTTACGTAACCAAAATGACAAAACTCACATTGATACAGTACTGTACCCAATCTACAAATCTTACTCATACTTTGCCACTGGCGGCCTTCATCTGTTTAGATCACAGCTGATAGCTGCCCTGTCTCCATAGTCTCCCTTAATCTGGAACAATTCCTCAGTCTTTGTTTTTGATGACCTTGACACTTTCTTTTTGTAATCCTCACCCGGGTATGTGTTTATTGATTTTAGAGAGAGACAGAGACAGAGAGAAACATCCATCGGTTCCTTCCTGTACGTGCCATGACCGGGGAGCGAACCTGTAACCTAAGTATGTGCCCTGACTGGGTTACAAACCTGCAGCCTTTTTGGTGTATGGGATGACGCTCCAACCAACTGAGCCACCTGGCTGGGGCACCTTGTCGCTTTTGCAGAGTTCAGTGATCGATCTGGGATGCACCGGTGCAGAGTTAGCGCTGTTTTCCTTTCTTCATCTTTCCCTCTATTTAGTAACTGGTGGTGTGACTGTGAATTGTTAAAGTGTCACTTGTGTTTGTCTATAAGTTATATATATATTCTCACCTGAAGACATTTTTTCATTGCTGTGTTGGGGGGTGGGGCGGGGAGAGAGAGAAAGTGATTGGTTGCCGCCTCCTACGTGTGCCCTGCCGGCAGATCGAGCCTGCAACCTTTAGGTCTACCAGACGCTGCTCCAACCAACTGAGCTACACCGGCCAGAGCAAATGATATCTTTTTCTTAATATAAGTATTGGGCTTATAGTTGTAAAAAATATTTTTAAAGCTATAAAATATACTCCCAAGTCTCAAACCCCTGAAAATAAGTATGGATGTGCATTTTTCTACTTCTTTTAAATACCTCTCTTACATCTTTTGCCCATTTTTGTGTTGGGTGGTCTATATGTGAAAGAAGCCTTTTCTGAAATGTGGGTATTAATCATCCTTTGCCAGAAATTGCCAATATTGTCCCCTGTTATTTTTCTTTTATGTTCTGCTACAAATAAGTTTGAAGTTTTATTCAGTTAAACTTTCCGTTTTCTCTCTTTGGCTTTGGAATCATGTATGAAAGGCTTTCTCCACCCTAAGATTATATATAAATGTATTTCAGTGCTCTCTATTTGTTTTATCATTTTAAACTTACATCCTAGCTCTCTGGAATTTACTGTACATAATGTGCGGCTGGAGCCTAACTTTATTTAACCTGGTGAGGTGAGGCCTTCATCCTCCACCCTTCCACTGAGCAGATGCTAAAGCACCTGCTACAAGGGCTTTGGATGCTGGGAAGAGAGCAGGGAGTGAGCCAGGCAAGTCCCCGCCTCCAGATCTTCTGGGAGGGAGGCAGCAGTGAAGAGGAGACCTTCCTTCAGGCGCTGTGAGGCTGAGCTGGCCGCGTGCGGGGCGGCACGGCCGGGGGCGACATGGGGACGTGGGGACTGGGCAGCCCCGCAGAAGGCAGAGCCGGGGCCCCTGTGTCTGCGGTGGTTCCGTGGCGACTTTATTTGTTTAGAACTTATTTGCTTATTTTACAAAGCCCATCTTTTGTTTTTCTTTTCCAAATTTTGGTGACTGTACTGTTCTTACACATTTGTCCTTATAGTTGAATTTTATTAACTGTCAAGTTTTATTAACTTTTATCAAGTTGTAAAAGTAACAGTTAAAAAGAAAAATACGCAATTTTGATTTGCATTCCATTAAATCGATATTAACTTGAGGAAGAGTATCATCTTTACAATGTTTATTCTTCCTACTGAGGAAAAAATTACCCCTCATGTTATTTAGATCTTCATTATGGCTTCTATTAACTGTGATCATGAGGATCTTGCATATTCCTGTTAGGTGTATTTTGCCATGTTTCATTTTTTGTTGCTGCTGCTGTTGTGATTGGGATTTAACCATGATTGGGATTTTGCAAGAAAAGCAAAGAAATAGATTGCTAAGAATTCTATGTGAAGACATTTAGCGGCTGTGGTGCCTCAAACTACACATTCGTATCTTCTTTATAAGTTATACTTTTATCATCATTTAAAGTATCCCTATTTATTTCATTTGATACGCCACCTTTTTAAAGAATAACTCTGTCCACAGGCCTGTGTTTTTAGCTTACGTGAATGAGGTAGAGCCATGAAGCTGCTTTTTTCCAAGCGCCGTGAGCCCGCGTGCGCTTCTTGCAGAGCCGGGAGGGAGCAGCCAGGGCCAAGTGGAAAGGGGGGAAGGAGATGAGCGCCCCGGTGGGTGGACAGCGGATACCGTTTACCAGCAATAAAGGATTAACAACACGTATATTTTTGAATGATATTGTCAGGTTTCACCTTAGCCTTTGAAATGCCTTCCTGTGCTTCCCTGAACCAGACGGGCCCACGGCACAGGTCACGGCCAGTGAGGGACACGCTCCGGGGCCGCTGAGGGCTCTGTGCGCAGGGCGTGAGAGTCTGGCGAGTGAGGGAGACAGTCCGTGTGAGTCTGAGTGTGAGCTTTTACTCTTGCCCAATATATTCAGCGAACAAGGCAGTCTGTTAAAGAAGTGGATACGTTTTTGGAGAGAGAATGCCATATTTCTGCTCTGTATCTTCTCTCACAAACTAGGGGTTCCTGTTTTGTTTCCACATGTATTCTGCCTTATCTGATATTTGTGTTCTCCCTGCCAATTTTTCATTTGCAGTTGCCTGTTATATCTTGTCATAACTGCCCCGCCCTTTATTTTAACTTTTTGGTTTGTGTTTTAGCTCTGTCTCTTACATGTGCCATATAGCTGGATTTTCAACAAATTTTAGATTTTTTTCCTTCTAATAGAGAAAGCCAACCCATTTATCTGTCAGGGCTTTTTCTGGTTACGTAATGTTTCTGGTTATTATGCTTTTTTGTTTCTTTTTGTTAACAAAATTAATTTAGGCTATTATAACGAATAAGGTGTTTATTTGAGCAAAGGAGGGATTGCAGCCCAGGGTACCCTGCATTTCAGGGGACAGCCTTAGCAGTGTGGACCCTGCTTTCCTTCATCTCACTTTGCCTTCCTTCCTTTACATCGTTGAGCTGATGATTTTTCTCGGTTCCTTTTTTCCTTCCCTGAAGTGGGAATTCTGCCATGTATTTATATCCTAGTAGCTACCTTTACTTTTCTTGATGATATTGGTCAGAGATTCTTAACATTTTTTCTTTTGCTACATTGTTTAAGTAAACATTGGGAGACAGGAATGAGGTGGGAAGAAAGACGGTGACTGTGTGCCTGGTGCTGACGCTGTTCGCGGAGCTCGTAGCCCCTGGGATGCAAACTGCACGGGTTGGAATCGGTTCCTTCCCCTCTCTGGTCTCTTTAATTCTTTCTTCTCCCTACGCTTCTCGCCTTTGCCCATTTACATATTACAGTGTTCTCTGTCCTGCAATGAAAACCTTTTCTGTCACTTTATTTACATTACCTGTTCCTCTTTTTCGGAACAGTCTTATTTCTCCTCTTTTTCACAAGAAGCCTTAGGTAACCTCACTGGCTGCTTCTGAGTCCTTCTCTTCCGTTTATTCTTTCACGCACTGCAGGGTGAGTCCTGCCTTCACCGCTCGGCTGGAATTAGCTCATTCTCACATCCGCAGCTCTCCTCTCAGTCCTCGTCCTGTTTGGCCCAGTCCAGCGCCTGAGAGTGTTGGCCTCTTCCTCTCCTTGAGACTCTTTCCTCGCCTGTCGATCCCGAATCTCCCTCTATCTCCCTTTCGGTCTGGCTCCCGCTCTCTTGCTGGCGGGGGTGCTAGCATTCTTTTCTTGGCCTTCTCATTTTACACGGACGTGGAACTGGGTGGCCTTGGATTCAGGTCCCAGCTGTGTGATCTTGGAGAGGTCGTGTAGCCTTTTTGATCAGATTCCTCATCTATAAAATGATGACTTGCTCTTCCTCATATCAGCCAGGGTTCTCCAGAGAAACAGAACCAAAAGAGTATGTGTGGTTATGTGGAAAGAGATTAGGAGGGGTTGGTTCAAGGAGGCTGAAAAGTGCCCACAATCTGCCGTCCGCAGGCTCAGCAGAGCCAGCTCTGTAGCTGCACCGCAAGCCCGGAGACCTCAGGTCCCAGGGACCCACGGTGTAAGTCCTGGTCCGAGCCTGAAGGCTCACAGAGTGGGGGCACTGGTGTCTGAGGCAGGGGATGTGGCCGTCTCAACACAAGCAAAGGAAATCCACCCTCTCCCACCTTCCCGCCCCCTCCAGGCCCGCCCTCACTGGAGAGGGCCGATCTTCCTTCCTCAGGCTGCTCATTCAAAGACGAGCTCCCACACAGGAAGAGCCACAGGTGCAGCTTTGCCAGCCGCGTGGGCCCACCGTAGACCCATCAAGTGGGCCTACAATTAACTGTCACACTTGGTAAACAGATACTCAGTGCTCATTTTATTGCCTAGTCTAAGGGCTAGAGAACAAGGCCGAAATGGGCATATAAATCTGAAATGCCATTCAAGCCAAGCTGGGTGTTACTGGTTCTCTCATAGACCAACCGTCTAGATTGGTCCCGTTTGCACGCTTTTCCCTAGTAACTGGGGTTCCCGCCTCTGTTGTAAGACCTGCAGTGCCATGTGCTGTCTTGGCACCTGCGAGCCGCCCTGGGCTCCAGAGACCAACCAGGAGCTCCCCTGCTCTTGCCAGATAGGCCCCCTCCAGCGGCAGGGCTCCCCGCCCAGCTGGCGCTCCTGTCGGCCCCATCGGGCGCACCCCTCCCAGCCCTCGCCCTGATGGGTTTCACCTCCGTACCAACCCACGAAATTGTTCAAATAGACTAGTCATGTCTTCCCATCATAACCAAAGGTTACCTCGCCCTCTCGTCATTGTCAAGCCTGCCTCCCACCGTCCTGCTAGTTAGTGGACAGTTTCCGAGCACAGCTGCGCAGCGCGGTGTCCTCTGCGGGCTGTTGGGAGCCTCCTCTGGGCCAGCCAGGCCTGGGTGCTTGGTCGTCCTGTGCTGTCTAGGGTGGGGACCCCTACTTCTCCATGGGGTGGATGGGAGGCGATCAGGACAGTGGTGCCCAGAGTGGCCTCAATGCTGTCCGCGCGGCTCCTTGTCCTTATGTCCCGGAGCACTTTCTGTTTGTCTTCATAATGTTGCAGATGTTTAGTTTCTTTTGGAGGATGACACGTGTTTTCTCACACAGATCTGTCCTGTCCCTTCTGAGGCTGATTGTTGTCACTTGCTCAGAGGGTTTTGTTGGTGTATTCCTATGTTGAGCAGGACTTTATAGTTTCAGGAGTCAGCCACACTCAAGGATGTGTGTGGACTTCACCTGGGAAGAGTGGATGCCTCTAGCCTGCGCTCCGAGGAAGCTGTGTGGGAACGGGACGCCGGAGAATTACTGGAACGCACTCTTGCTGGGTGAGGACTTCCCTCTGTACCTCGCCTTCCCGTAGGGAACCCCTCGCACAACCTGTGAGACTGACGCGTTTGCACTAGAAGCCCTGAGTACTATGGGGCATTGTTTTAGGGTAGCTGCTTGGTGTCCTCTTTCCAGGTGAAAAGTCTTTCCTGTAGAGAACTGGAAAATGGGACACGCAGCAGCCCGCCTCCTTTGTTTCAGAAGCCCTGAAGGGAAGGGATGAGGTCCCGTGCTGGAAGGGGCTTTTATACTCAGTTCGGAACCCAAGTTCAGTGTCTTTCTTCCCGAGCAGGGCATCAGCTTTCCAAACCAGATGTGACTTCTCAGCTGGCGCAAGAAGGACCGAGCCTGATGAAAAAGAACTTCCAGGGGCATCTCTGTAGGTAAAGTGTCAGCCTCGTTACTTGAGGGTATCACCAGGGAAGAAGTCACGCCAGAGATCTCTATGTCTCTTGGGGAGACCTGCGTGTTTGATGTGTGTTCTCTTCAAACGCCTCCTCCCAAGTGTGGCACGTCCTCACCTTGGTGACTCAGTGTGGGGGAGATGAGTGCTGCGCTACCTGGGACATCTCAGAAAGGCAGTAAATATTAGCGAGTGTTTCCTCTTCTCTCTCACTCTGCTTTATTCTCTCTGTTCTCTGGCACGGGCCTGTCTGCTTAGCCGTAACCTGTATCTACAGCTTCCTTTCCCAGATAACTAACATTTCTCTTCCACCGTGTTGTAACCTAGTTTTGCAGTCTTCATTTAAAGACAAATGAAAATGACGCCAGCTGTGTTCTACACCTCTATATCTGCTCTGCTCAGCTTCAAAGTGTTGATCGCCACTTCTTTTTATACATTTTTAAAATTATGAGATAGGCAAGTAATTTTTGATCTCTGACTAGTATATGGCTATGGTTATATAATGCAATAAAAAAAGTCAATGAAAGAACATACTGATAGGAAAGAGAATAATCTAATGAACACCGTTGCTGGTTTCCAGTAAGCTTTCTAAGGAACGGGATCCTAGAAGAATCACTGGTCAAAGGATGCTTACATTTTTAGGGCTCTTGCTATATATTGCACAGCTTTGGATATTATGCTTTTTAATGTTTATTAGGTATAAAATGATCTCTTTGTGAGCTTTAATTGCCTTTATGACTGATTTGTGTGGATTTGGTTACTGTGGCTATTTGTATTTATTCTTCTATAAATCACCTATTTATTCAGCTGATGTTTTCTGAGCACTAGGCCCTATCCCTAGCCCTGCAGATACAGCAATAAGCAGAACTGTCAGTCTCCCTGTGGAGCTTGGAGTCTAGCGAGGAGGACAGCGAGTTACTAAAGGGAAAGAGCAGGGGGTGGCGGGGCAGGAGAGGGAGGGCGGGAGGGTAGGAGGAAACGAGTGCTGCGGAGCCCTGGCGCTGGGCGGAGAGACGTGGTGTCAGGAACTGGAAGGGCCAACGGCGCAGTTTTTGCAGGGGCAGTCAGGGGAGGCCTTTCTGAGGTGACTGATGGGGGGCACTGTGGGCACAGGGGGCAGCAGGCGCAAAGACCTACCTGCGGGGGTGGCCTGGTGGTGTTCGAAGGGAAGAGTGCAGGGAGATGTGAGGATTTTCTTAAGCTTTCTCTCAGTCCTTCTGTGAAAAAATTATTTCTACGGTCTCTTCTTTTTTAAAAATTTCTGTGAGCCTTCTCATTCTCTGCGTGTTCCTTCTTTTATTGGGTTGGCCAAAAGTTCATTTAGTTTTGTCTGTACAGTGGCTCTAGTAGTGCTTAGTTGTCTTTAACTTCATTTGAGACAATTTTGTTAGATTGTATTGTGACAGCTGTTGTATCAGCGTGCATTAAAAAAAAAACTATCAAAATTGGTGAATTTTTGTGTGGCCATTTCAATACTGAAGATGGAAGACGATACACAATATTTTCAATGTATCATGCTTTATTATTTCAAGAATGGTTATATCCAAAGCGACTGAAATGCAAAAAAAAAAAAAAAGAAAAAAAAAAAGATTTGTGCAGTGTATGGGGAAGGTGCCATGGCTGACGAAACATGCCAAAAGTGGTTTGCAAAGTTTCTTGGTACTATTGACATTTTGGTCAAATAACTCTTTGCTGTAGGGCTGTCTGATGCATTGGAAGATGTTTAGCAGCACCCCTGGCCTCTACTCACTAGAAGCCAATAGCAGGAGATAGCTGACATACTCAAAATATCCAAATCAACAAAGTTATTGGTGAAAATGAAAAATGTGTCTCGTATTTTATGGAAAAAGCCATATGGACTTTTTGGCCAACCCAATAAATAGCTGTCTATTTTAATGCATTCATTAACCTCCCTTGTCTGTATGAGGATATTTAAGTTATTTGGATTTGTGCGGGTAGCATTTTTTCCCTTGTATGCTATATTTTGGTGGGTTTATATAGGTTTTTTTCAGTAGTCCATCGTCACTTTGGTGTTTTTTGGGGGGCAGCAGAGGCAAACTTATGTATTCTTGATACTTTGTTTTCCTCTCCCATTTCTTTACTTGTCTTCAGACTTCTCCATCGGGCTGCATCCTACAGATTCTTCACTTGTTTGTGACAGCATTTCATGCTGTTTTCCTTGTCTCTTTGGAAGTCTGGGCAGCAACTAGTATGTAGGCTCACTGAATTGTCGTGATTGTGCTTGCTTCTTCTTTATACCCTCTGGGTAGCCCATTGCCCACCAGAGGAAGTGTTTACTATATGATTATTGAGTGAATATTGAATGATGTCAAGTAGAATTTTTAGAAGTCAGATGAAAAGATAGATTTGAGAGTTATATGTGTGACATTTATATCAGTTTGTCTTGTTAATAATCAGGAAGGGTGAACAATAGGGCAAACCAGTGAGGATGGAACCCTAAAGAGCAAAACGTTGGGCTAGGAGCCTAGGATGCTCTAGCAAAGGCGACAGAGTGGTCCAAGAAGGAGGAGGGAGTTTGGGGAGAACTGGGCCAAGGAAGAGAGAAAAGTAGAGGGCGCGTGCACTGGCGCCAAGAGGGGAAGAAAAGCGGCGTGTGGTCCTGGGAGGAGCACCTCGGGGGCGAGGGCGGCAGGCTGTGGCTGACAGCAGACTGCGCGCCAGCCGGGTTAGCTTTGAGGAAGAGGAAGAAAGGGCGGGGACTGGACGAAGACAGAGGTAGAGTGGGTCCGGGTTGTTTTCACCCAGGAAGAGACTTGACTGTATTTACAAGAGCGGAGGTATGTGTTACAAAGGAGACACTGAGTGCAGCGAGAGCGTGGAGCCCAGGACATGGGATGATGAGCAACTTGCAGATCTTCCTTCCAGGTTTTCTTCCGTGTTGCTGCTGGATTAAGTCACCATTTTGTCTTACTGTGCTGTCCAAAACCGAGACAAGACGGCGTCGCTTGAGTGCTGTGCTCAGCTCTTGCCCGGCCGTCATCGGATGTTGCTCCTCACGACAGTCCCACGGGGTGGGTATCTCAGTCCCTTTCTTGGGGAGACAGAAACTGAGGGAGGAGGGATCCCATGTCCGGATCTGAATACAGGCTTCTTCGTTACATATGTTTTTATCTTGGAGTCAATACTAATTATACAAAAAAAAAATCATTATTTTCTTGCCTTGCCTTGCTGTGACTTCTTGTTTCCCAGTATATTTAGTGAAAAGAGAACTTCACCATCCTGCCTGTTATTCTTTTTAGGCGATTGTTTTCTGTTTCTGGGCTAAAGTTTTCCTGTATACAGTTGTTGAGTGCTTCATTAGATTTTGTTATTTATACTCAAAGCCGAGTATAAAATGTAAATTTAGAAGTGCTGTTTCTGGAGAGAGTGTGATGGCTAGTAAACCTATTAATATTGAAACAAAGATAGAAATTATTAGTGATGTGGAAAACAGTAAATTTTTAGCCTTTAATCAGTGGTCATTAGACTTAAATCAGTTGAGGTTCAGTCTTGAAGGAAACAAAAGTTAAAAACATGTATAAAATGTTAGAAATGTATTATCAAACATCATCCCTAAAAAATAAGGTGCAGTTAGGCAGTCTATAACATTTAAAGCTCTCTCTGAGGCTACTGTTAACTACCGCTGAACCAGAAACCTGTTGTTTATGTTTCATACATGATTTTGTATCATCCTCAGAGATGTGCTGGGTTACTATGTATATGTGTTTGTGTAAATACATATGTATATACATGACACAGAAAATTTATATCTGTTTTATACTGAATTTATATACTGTTACAGTGTCCCTATCTACCTCATGCTAACATGAACTTCACTAATGTTTAGTAGACAAATGTCTTTGCTTCCATTAATAGGAAAATTGATGCACAGGACTATAATAAATGTAGGAGTGTCCAGGAGCTTGTTCATCCTTGCCCAGGGCGGCCAGCCCTGCCCGAAGCATCCGCACGGCACATTCTGTCCGGGGGCTCTCCTTTCACTAGGCCTGCAGTTCCTCCTCAGCCCCTAAGGTCCTTACTTCAGCTACTTTGTCAACCCTAACTCTAACGCTAATCTTTGTGTAAATTGAATAAGTAATATTTCAGGAAAGCTTTAAAAGTGCTGTAATTACTGAGTCTTTCATATTTAGGAAGGTGTTTTGGTTTTCTCTGTACATGTATAGAGTACTAGCCAAGTTGAATTCCTGAGTCACACTGACCAATTTTTAAAAAATTTGTAAGTAACTGACTTTTTTTATTAAGGAGCAGGTCTTCAGAATTAACTTTTAAATTAGGTCTCTAAATTGCATGAAGATAAAATAAATCTTTCTATTAAGTTTTCTGTAGTATAACATAATGATGCTTAAACTTAAAATGATTAATATTTTCAAACAATGAAAATACTTTGTTCTCTTTTTTAAAAATGTTACTCATAAAGAAGAATGTGTAACATACATATTATTTAACAAAAATCTACATACTTTTCTAATGTAAATGCTATAATATTAACTGACTCTTGTTCTTACAACAACACTGTGAGATAGGGACCAATTAACAGGTGAGAAAACTGAAGTACAGACAACTTAAGTGATCTGCCCAAGGTCACACAACTGACAGTGATAGAGCGCAAATTCGAGGCAGCTAGTGTGGCTCTGGAGTTGTTGTCTTAAACATCATGCCATACTGCTGCTCCTTACAGGTAATAACGATAAAGGCTAATGAATGCCTAGGACCCACATCGGAAACAGGACATTACTGGTATCCTTGCCACGCTCTGTGTGCGCCTTCTCCTTCACACACTCTCACCTCTTCCATGGACCTAACCACTGCTCTCACTTTTGTGATAATTCTCTTCCCTTTTCTTTTAAAGTATTGCCATCCATAAATTAACCTATAAGCTGTATGTTTATTTTTAATCTGTTTCAAACTTTAAGTGGACTCTTTTTTTCTGTGACTTTAAGTTATTTATTTGTTCATACTGATATGTATAGCTATACCTTACTAACTTTTACTTAGACTGCTATAATAATTTCTTAGGCAGGAGGCTTAAAAGTCAAACATTTATTTCTCACTGTTCCAGAGGCTGTAAGTCTGCGATCAGGTTGCCAGTGTGGCGGGGTTGTTGGTGAGGGCCTGCATCCTGGTTCAGGGACAGCTGCCTTCCTGCTGTGTCCTCACGTGCTAGAGAGCAGAGAGACAGCCCTCTGATCTCCTCTTACAGGGCCCTGATCCCATCACGAGGGCTACACCCTCATGACCTAATGACCTCCCAAAGACCCCACCTCCTAACTCTCCTATTCGGAATTTAGCTTCAACATAAGAATTTTGGGGAGATACAAATATGAAATCCATAACATTCACTGTTGTTAATTATTCCATTGTATAAATATTTGACAATTTAATTATCCATTCTATTATAATGGATATTTATGTTTCTAATTTTTTGCAGTTGTGCAATGCTACTTTTAAAATTATGAATCATGGAATAACTTTTCAAGTTAGATTTACCTAGATGTGTATACTTAATAGTGGACTTCCTTTTCTTAATTGCCTATTTGAGTCCTTTGTCCATTTTTCTAGTAGGTTTAGTGTTCCATAGACCTTTTTTTCCAAGTCTAGGTTCTAGTTCTTTGTGGGTCATTGTTACAAATCTCTTTGTAACAATGTCCCAGTATGTAACTTTTTAAAAAAAGTTATGTCTTTTGATTTTAATGCTTTTTTTCTTCTCATTCTATTATTTTAAAAATTTACTTCTTAACCCTCTACAGCGCAGGGGTGTCCAGCCTGAGGCCCAGGATGGCTGTCAGTGCGGCCAACGCAAAGTCATAAATTTACTGAAAACATTATGAGATCTTTTTGTGATTATGTGTCACAATGTATTAAAAGTGTGGCCCAAGATAACTCTTTTTCTTCCAGTGTAGCCCAGGGGTGCCAAAAGGGTGCCCTGCGGAGTCTACATAGTTTCCAAACTTGGTATTTTCTGTGTATCATTTATCTTTGGATGGAGGCAGTTCTGTCTGGACTTTATATTTGTCTAACAGTGTGGATGGATCATGGGTGGCACTTTACATGTTCTCGGATAACTTCAGTTAGACATGAGAGTGAAGTGGGGCACGTGGACACCTCTAATTCATGTGTTGCTTGTTAATTTCATACTTGCATAGGTCCTCTCTGTGGTGACTTGATGGTGTGTCTGTTTTGGAAGTGGAATCTGCTTGGCTTTCCACTTTTTGTCTTTTTTAATGTAAACAGGTCAGGTTGTAAGGAGCAGGTCCAGTTAATGCATTACCCTTGTTTCACAGTCAAGCCTCCTGTCCACAGGTCTTTGGTCTGTTGCTTCACTGTTGATAACTGCTCTGTTGACTTTGATAAAATTGACAGGCAGATTCTCAGATTATAGTTCCCTGTCCTCTGCCTCTCATTGCCTCTAGGCCATTTTTGTCTGGGATTAAAAAATGGGATCTGAGAAAATAAAAGTGTGAGTGTCTACAAGGTCCTTCCTTTAGCCCCCTCTGAAGCAGTTCAGCACTCTCCCTTGCCTGCCCCTGCCATCAATTCTCATCTTTAAGGAATAGGTATTTAGGAAACATAGGGTCTTCTAGGACTTTCTTAACTTCTGTGAGAAACCTACAGCCTACTTGAAATTTTGGATTGTGTTATCCTCCCTTAAGAGCTTGCGTTTCAAGAATGTTCCAGACAAGTGTGTTCCCAAAGGGCAAGTTATATACATTATCCTTATTAGATTATTTTTATCCTCATTTTATATCTGTGAAAACTCAGGCGTAGAGAAACAAGTAACTAGCTAAGATGGTAAGTATTTATGGCCAGGGTTTGGACTCCAGGACTGGCAATCTTCACTGTCTCACACTGTGATAATTTTGAAGATTTAGAATCAGAATTATAGGCAGGAACAAATGCCTGGTAGGAACACTAAGTACAACATGGCAGGGCTTTCTGATCTGCCTCTTCCAATCCCAGGTCTTCTGTATATTTTCCTTTAGTTCTGTCTTCATTATTTTTCCTTGTCCAGTGGTCAGTTACTACAATGTCTGTCCTGCTTGCATAGGCTCACTCTTTTTTCATCTTTGAAAACTCTCATGTGCCATATGCTCAATTTTATTCTCATTTTCACCTTATGTAGTTTTGAGTCTCCCAGCATAGAAACCAATGCCCATTTGAATTTTTTATTTTTTACAGACTAGGAGACAAGACTTGAAACCAAAAAGACAACTCCAAAGCCCAACATTACCGAAGACTTATCCTATCTGGTAATAATGGAAAGGGAAGGTCTCTGGCATTCTTCTTTAGGGGAAACCTGGGAACCGGATAATTGGTTAGAGGGGCAACAGAAGAACAAGGATAGACATCTGGGCCAAGTGGCAATTACCCATAAGGAAACTCTCACTGAGAGAAGGGTATGTAGAGGTAATGAATTTGAAAGATGTTCCAGTCAGGGTTCAGTCATTGATATACAACAAAGTATTCCTATGGTAAAAAGGTCTTGTTATCAGAATTCACATGGAAAAGATATTAAACAAAATTCTGAATTAATTAAGATTCAAAGAATGCTTGTAGGAAAGAAAATCTATGAATGTAATGAATGCGGGAAAACCTTCAGCCAGAGCTCATCCCTTCTTAAGCACCAGAGGATTCATACTGGGGAGAAGCCCTATAAGTGTAATGTATGTGGGAAACACTTCATTGAACGCTCCTCCCTTACTGTACATCAAAGAATTCATACTGGCGAGAAACCCTACAAATGTAATGAGTGTGGGAAAACCTTCAGTCAAAGCATGAACCTTACTGTTCATCAAAGAACTCATACTGGAGAAAAACCCTATCAGTGTAAAGAGTGTGGAAAAGCTTTCCGCAAGAATTCATCCCTTATTCAACATGAAAGGATTCATACTGGTGAGAAACCCTACAAATGTAATGAGTGTGGGAAAGCTTTTACCCAAAGTATGAATCTCACAGTGCATCAAAGAACCCATACAGGAGAAAAACCCTATGAATGTAATGAATGCGGGAAGTCTTTCAGCCAAAGTATGCATCTTATTGTACATCAGAGAAGTCATACTGGAGAGAAACCCTATGAGTGTAGTGAATGTGGAAAAGCCTTTAGTAAGAGCTCAACTCTTACCCTGCATCAACGAAATCACACTGGAGAAAAACCCTACAAATGTAACAAATGTGGGAAATCCTTTAGCCAAAGTACATACCTTATAGAACATCAGAGACTTCATTCTGGAATAAAACCTTTTGAATGTAATCAGTGTGGAAAAGCTTTCAGTAAGAATTCATCTCTTACTCAGCATCGGAGGATTCATACTGGAGAGAAGCCTTATGAATGTGTTGTATGTGGAAAGCATTTCACTGGGCGATCATCCCTTACTGTACATCGGGTTATTCATACTGGAGAGAAACCTTACGAATGCAATGAATGTGGAAAGGCCTTCAGCCAGAGTGCATACCTTATTGAGCATCAAAGAATTCACACTGGTGAGAAACCCTATGAATGTGATCAGTGTGGCAAAGCCTTTATTAAGAATTCGTCCCTTACAGTGCATCAAAGAACTCATACAGGAGAGAAACCCTATCAGTGTAATGAATGTGGGAAAGCCTTCAGTCGGAGTACAAACCTTACACGACATCAGAGAACTCATACATGAGGAAAGTTTTCATCAGGCCCTTTACCATGATTAACTTTTCAGTGATAATCAGATAAGTCATATAATGTAGAAACCAAATAAATGTAAAGATTTTAGGAATCTTTTGGTTGATGTATATTAAACACCATATCAGATGATACAGACCACTGCAGAGAAATCATGAAGTGGAAAATCTTGATTGATTCAGAAAGTAAAACTTTGTATCAGGAATTTTAAGTAGCTAATATTCTAAACACCAAGGATTCATGCTGAAGATAAGTTTCGTTGCTATCATACTGCAGATTCTCCTTTGGTTACCAGAGACTTCACACTGGAGAGAAAATGTGAGAGTGCTTAACTGGGCAAGCCCAAAGACCTGGAATGCACTTTGACCTTGTCACTAACTTGACAAGTCACCTACTCTCACCAGGTCACAGTGTCCTTATTTGGTAAGTGAGGGATTTTGAATTTAGAAGGTCTTCAGGATGCCTGGGAGCTCTACAAAGCAACAAACATATAAATATAATTAATGTGGGGACATGCTTAATCTTCTACCATGTTATATATGTTATTAGATGCCCCTGTTTTACAATCTGGTTTTCCTGGGTGTTGTGAGTTAAAATTCTCTAGCTCTACCAAATCTTTTTCTCCCTCCATGCTCCCCCTTCTCCTTGCGTTATTTTCTTCCCTAAAATGCAGGCTGATTGCTAACAGATGAGGGAATAATTGTACAAATCCTAATGCAGTAGCATGTTGTTTTGAGTCCTCAGCAGCCATTAAACTGTTGTTAAATAAGCTAATTACTTAGAAAACAATATAACTTCAATATAGCCGTTACACAGGATCCAAATATATATCTTTGTATCATATTCTCACTATTTAAGTGGAAAGGAGAATAGGCTAAACACTAATAGACATGAAACTTGGACATATTAAAATTTTTGTAACTCAAAATATATTCAAAACAATCTCATGGAGATTTTATAGTTCTATAGATATGATAGTAGAAGAAATTTTATTTATTTCACACATTTAATAAGTGCTAAACGTGCTAAGATGATTAGAAAAATCAAAGAATATATCTTGCTTTCTAAGGTTTAAACTGAGAAAGTGGCAGTGGGATGGGAGAGGAAAAATTCAAGCAAAAATGAGACATTATATAGATAATGTGGTAACTGATTAAATGTGAGCACTTGAATTTCTTATTTGGATGTATAGGTGTGCCATAATTAAAAATATAAAGCTGACCAATTTTGTTGGGGCAATGACGAGTTCCATCTGGGGGCATTTGATGCGCCTATGGATACCCAAGTGAGGACTCCTAACAGGCCATAGAGTAAGTAGCAGGGCAATGGTGTGAGGGTGCTTTGGGAGCACAGCAGTCCCCACCCTTATTTGCAGTTTTACTTTCCACAGTTTCAGCTACCCACAGTTACCTTTGCATCCAAAAATATGAAATGGAAAATTCCAGAAATAAACAATTCATGTTTTAAATTGTCCATTCTGAGTAGCGTGAGGAACTCTCATGCCATCGCACTACATTGTCACCTCACTCCCTGTCATCACAAAGCCATTGTATCATGTCACATCATCACAAGAAGGGTGAGTACAGTACGGTCAGATACTTTGAGAGAGAGACCGCACTCACATTACACTGTAATTGTCCTATTTTTTTATTATGTTAATCTTTTACTGTGCCTAATTTATAAATAAAACTTTATCATAAGTATGTATTTATGGGTAAAAATGGGGTTTATATAGTGTTTGGTACTATTCATGGTTTCAGGCATCCACTGGGGGTCTTGGAACATACCCCCTGATAAGGGGGGGCTACTGTACTGTTGCTGAATGGGGTCAAGTGGAGGAGGTGGAATTAGTAGAAGCTGAGGGGGGAAAACAAATCAGGAGCACGTGGTGTCATAGAAGTAAAAGGAGAATTTTAGTGTAGGGACAGGAATGGTTAATATTTTCAAATGCTACATAAAGTTAAAGTAAGGTAAAAATAGAAAAATGGCCTTTGGTTTTGGTTACTGATAATCTCTGTAAATTTTAGGTTGAAGAGCGAGTTAAAGGTTGAAAAGGACTTAGTAGCTTGACTGGGAAAGGAGAGTGTAGAAAGGTAACTGGAGGGAGACGGGGGTTGAAAGAAGGTATGTTTATAAGAGCTTTTGGCTACAATGGTAGAACACCCAGGTAACAACGGCCTACAGAGAGGGATTTATTCCCTCACACAAGAAATCGGAGGTGGGTGACATTGGTACAGAGACAAAGTAGTTCAGTGCCTTGAGTGTCATGGCTTTTCCATCATGGTCACATGTCTGCATCCAGTGCAAGAAAAAATGGACCAGAGAGCACTGGCACCATCTCTGCCTTCTATCAGAGGTTTTCCCAGCAGCCCTTCAGCAGGCTTCTGCCAGCATCTCCTTGACCACATCTGTGTTACATGGAGGCTAGTAGCAAAGGAGACTGATAAAAATAAGCATTTCCTTTTGCAACCTCCACAGTAGAGGCGGGCAAAGGAATGTGGTTTGAGAAAGGTGCTGACTTAACCAGCCAGCAGTCTGCTGAGAATGCATGATTTAAGGTAGAAGAATTGTGCATGTTTATCACCTGAAAGAGGTGTGGACAGTCTAAAGGAGGGAACGTGCAGCTCAAAGTGGGAAAATAAGATCTGGAGCACAGGTAGAGTCTATAGGAATCCTCTTCACTGGGAGAGGCGGTGACCAATGGTGGAAGCAGATCATGTTTGTGGGGGACAATGGAGGACTCAGTGCTGGGACCTTGGGCAGTTCAGTCTCTTTGGGCTATGTGACCTCTAAGTTTTAGTCATGGAGTTTGAACACTAAAGACGAAGGCGGAATGAAACGCTGAGTTAAATTGTATCGTCAGACACAGATTTTGAATCTCTCCCTTACACTGTTTCCTCCTTTCTCTTCACCTGTTTTTCTTGTTCCTCACCTCATCTCAGAGATAGAAATGGAGGGAAGGAAAGGAGGCAGGGAGAAGTGAGTAGAAAATAGATGAAAGTGATGAGACAGCAGCGCAGTAAAGGCTCAAGGGGAAGGCACAGGATAAGGGGGAGAGGAGGAATGAAGTTATTGAAGCCCAAAATGGATGCAGTAGCTCAAAAGCAGTAAAATGCTAATCCATTGAGGGAGCACTAGGACGCAAGGACCAGGTCAATGGAGGTTTCACTGCTTTTTCAGGAGTCCTGGAAGCCTGAGACCCTGTATGTCAGTTCTCAGCCATCCTGGGCAGCAAGTAATGAGGACAAGCCTTTACACCTTCCCTCCATCAACAGATGCCGGACTCCTGGTTCCGTGTGCTAGAGCCCTTCGCGAGGCACTTAACGTTGGTGCCTCGGTTTTCTCATTGTCAGTGGGGCCAACCTCATAGCTTTGGACTCCATTAGGTAACTGAAATAAAGTGCTTATCAAAGTGCCCAGTGTGTAGTTAGTGCACAACAAATGTCATCACTCCCGTGTACCGGAAAATACTACCTGAACCCTTCAGCATGGCTTCCGGAACCCTTAATTATCTCAACGACTAGGTGCTCGAAACATAACTTGTGAAAAGGTTATAATACAGGGAGTAATAGCCTCCTAACTGGCTTCCTCGTGTTCCCTCTGGCCCCGGGCAGCCTGTCTCCCCTCCAGCCGACCAGTGATTTCGTCAGTGTGCCCAGCCAACCCCGGCAACTTTTTCCCGTCACAGCTTAAATCCTGCCGCGTTCTTCAAGGCTCTAGTTACCCTGGGGCCTGCCTCCCCTCCCCCAAGTTCCCCAGGCCCTCCCCAGTCACACTGGCCTGGAGGCATTCCTGTCCCCTCCCGCTCCGAGGGCCCTTCCCCACGCGGTCAGATCCCCCCCCCCCCACTGTGTTCCAATCTCTGCTTCAGGTTATTTTCCCAGAGAACGCCCCAAAACGCTTCTTAAAATAATCCCCAACCTTTGTCACGATCTAAGCCTCAAAGCAGCTTCACTGTCATAAGTACCTGATATTTTTATTGCCCTCCTTCCCGAACAGAATTAAACCTGCACAAGCGCAGGGTTTTCAGCCCCTAGAGCTGTACCTGGCACATTAGTGCTCCGAGTGGCTACACAATGAAGCCTTCGAAAAACCGCAATGCGGCAGTGCCATGTCAGTCACTGACACTGCTTCCTGACAAACCTCAGGTCACACGAATTTTTTCACCACCGACAAAATTAAAACCCTCTCATCTTCCTGAAAATACGTATTCCACACGTGTTCCAAGTCCAAGGCAAGTCCTGTCGGCAAGAACAGATACCAGCCAGCGGTCCAGGAGGGCCGGCCGCCTGGGCATCCACGCTCCGTCCTCTCCTGAGAAGTTGCCCAGAGCCAAGTCTATTCCACTTGCTCCACACTTCCCAAGCGCGGTACCCGGGGCCACGTCCCGAGCAGGCGTCCTTCAGCCCCTGACTACCCCGCCCCGCACCCCACTACTCGCCGAACCTCCGCTGGCCACACTTGCTGTCATCTGCATCCCCGGGGCCGACAAGCGGTACCGCCGCCTCTTCACGTCCTCCGCGCCGTCTTCCGTCTGGAACGCGCCTTTTCGGCTGGTTGCGTCCTACTCCGTCCTCCGGAACCGTTCCTGATCCGTTCTCCTCACCGGATCACGCGCCGCGCCGCCGCACTAACCCTCCTTTATCCGACCGTTGACCTACTAATCTCTATATTCTTGGGCTGCTTTTCAAGGCAGAAACCGAGTCGCAGCCAGACCAGAGCGGAACCAAAGCCGCCGCTCCCGGTTAGCACACGGGGAGTTATATGCAGAGTGGACCGGCACGCCGCGCCGGGGCCCCTGGGAAATGTAGTTGCCATATGAAAGCGTCTAGACCTGGCGGAGGATGAGGGGCGGGGTTTCGGGGCGGGGTGCTGTCTGCTCCGGAGCGCGGTACTTCTGTCTGCCTCGTGCGGCTGCGGGCTCTCGCAGCGGATTTGCCGAACGAGAAGTGGCCCTGGAAGCTGAACGGCGCAGCCCTGGAACTTGTGGGGATTCAGCTCCGCGGAGCCCAAGGCAATGCGCAAGCGCAGTTCAGACCCGGCTGCAGACTCCAGCTCTTTGTGTTCTGCCGGCGATGTGGCGGTTGCGATCTGTGGTCGCCGGCAGGGGCTCCTCGAAGGGCAGCGCTTTGGTGACCAGGCATGGTGGCCAGAGCCTTATCGGGAGAGCGGGAGCGGCCGTGGGCGGTGGCACGCGGGGAGAAGGACGGAAGGGAGAGCCCAATAGGTCCGGAGCATGCTCCGAGCTGGAGGACGCTGCTCGGCTGCCCCAACTTCCCAGGGTCTAAGGCTGAGGTTGGATTCCAAGAGAAAAGGGACGACCAGGTGTGGGCTGTCGAGGCTCTGGCCGAGCGTGCGAGTGCCCGCGGACGAGGAGGGTCAGGTCTTCGGCGTGCACCGGGGAGCCGGTTACTCCCCGGGATAGGAGGTGCTCCGGGTGGGGCTGTGGACGCAGGTGGAGCCCCCCAGAGGGCTGCAGGGTCGACGGCGGGACGCGGTGTGAGGAAGACTCCCCGCCCCTCACACAGAAGCACGCTGCTCTTACACCTTCCTCTCTGGGTCACCCAGACTGGGCCCCAGAAGCGGCCAGGCCTGAGGCCAGAGAAGGGCTTGGCTTGAGAGCCTGACTGTGAAGATCCGGCCTTTGAGCAGAAACAGGACGACCCTCCTCCACTTCCTCCACTTCCCTCCCAGAATTGGGCAGCGGTCCAGCGTGACTTAAGGGCGGGCAGAGGGCGTGAGAGCTAGGGCTGGAGAGGGCAGTCTGCGAGGGGAGGGCAGTGTATTTACGCTGTGGAAGGGGAGATGCAGAGGGTTTGACTCAGATGCTAGGGGAAATGGGCGGGGGCGCGGGCCGAATGGTGAGTGAGTCCCTTTCCCGCGGGGCCAGCAGACATGCTCTCAGAAGGCAGAGAACTAGGAGTAGTCAGGGACTACGAATTCAGGGCTGGGGTATTGCAGGACCCCAGGATGCGAATGCTCACAGCCTCACTCTGGACTGCTGTGTGCTAGCTTCTGATCCAGTCCTGTCCCCACAACAGGTGTGTGCAAGTTTCCACCCGAGGACTCCAACTCGGCTTGGAGAAGAAATGGCTGTCAGGCACTTGCCCACCACGGTCCAGGTGAGTGGGGTTGCAGGGGAGTGCTCTTCCACACACTGAACTGCCTTCAAAGATTTGAACGTAGAGGTTTGGAGAGCGTGGCATGTTGCTTTTCCCTGACCAGGAGTTTTTCTCCTAATCTAGTCTCATGCAGAAGCCTGACTCAGTTGCTGCTTTCTCCCCTTTCCCTCATGTCAGGCTCATCTCAGTGGGTGTCATTCAGGCTAAGGAAATGGTTAGAGGTCACTTACGTGACAACTGGAACTGGAACCCAGGTTTGTCCAAAATAGAAACCTGCACTCTTCCCACTAGCAAGTCATATTAGGGGTGTAAAGTGGTCAAAGGCAGTGCCTAAGACAGGAATCGAGAGGAGAGACCAGAACCCTTGGAGAAGTGTGATTTACTGGACTTTTTCTTTTTTATTTAAATAATGACATGTGGCTTTTTACCTCAGAGGACTGTTGCAAACCAATGAAATCATTCAAAACATGTGGCACACATATGCAATGGGTAATTACTCACTCAGACATGAAAAATAATGAAATCTTACCATTGACAACAACATGGAAGAACCTAGAAGGTATTAAGCTTAGTGAAATAGGTCAGTCACAGAAAGTCAAATACCATATGATTTTACTTATGTGGAATCTAAAGAACAAAATAAGTGAACAAACAAAACAATTACAGAAATAAAGAACAAACTGATCAATTACCTCCAAACTGATGCTTAGGAAGGAGTTTGGGGAATGGGTGAAAAAAGTGAAGGGATTAAGAAGTAAAAATTGGCAGTTAACGGAATAGTCATGGGCACGTAAAATGTACAGCACAGGGAATTTAGTTACTGTATTGTAGTAACTGTGTATGGTGCCAAATGGGTAGCAGACTTATCAGGGGGATCACTTGGTAAGTCATATAAATGTCTAATCACTGTATAATATTGTATGTCAACTGTAATTACAAATACTTTTTTACTTTTATAAAAGATTATGTTTTCAATTTCAATAATTTACTGAAAGGGTTCGAGCAGAGCCAGCATCATTAGGATAAGGGTATGGGCCGCTCTCCGAAGGGGACAGCATTCATTCACGTGTATACATTCTGATGAGTTTAGTAAAGTTGTTCTAACTCCTTCACATTGCACCCTGTCCACGGCAGGACACTTTGGCAGAATTAATTGAAAGGGATGAGCAGCTGGTTGAAGGTGCTGAGTTTATCCCAGTGATGGCCTATCAGCTACTCAGCCTCCTGTTCCCAGTTTCTGACTTGTGCCTTGGGACCCGTCTCAGGCACCGCTTTTTCTCTGTGGCTGGTCTCCACTGCGGTGGAGGGTTGGTCAAAAAGTTTGTTTTCTTCTGTATGATAGCTCTAGTAGTGCTAGTTGTTTTTCACTTCATTCGAAACAATTTTGTTAGATGGTATGGTAACAGCCGTCATCAGTGCATTTAAAAAAACATCAAAATTGGTGAATTTTTGTGTAGCCATTTTAACACTGAAGATGGAGGGACGTACGCAGCATTTTCAGCATATTATGCTTTATTATTTCAAGAAAGGTGAAAATGCAAAAAAAGATTGGTGCATTATTTGGAGATGGTGCTTTGATGAAATGTGTTTCATGGTGGAGATTTCTTTTTTTTTTTTAAAGATATTTTATTGATTATGCTATTACGGTTGTCCCAGTCTTTTTTCTCCCCATTATCCCCCTTTGCCCTGTACCTTTCCTCCCTCCAGCATTACCCGCCTCCACCCTTAGTTCAAGTCCATGGGTCATACATATAAGTTCTTTGACTCCTCCATTTCCTATACTATTCTTAACTTCCCCCTGTCTGTTTTGTGCCTGACAATTATGCTTCTCATTCCCTGTACCTTTTTCTCCAATTCTCCCCCTGCCCCCTCCCCGGATAATCCTCCCTGTGATCTCCATTTCTGTGATTCTGTACCTGTTCTAGTTGTTTGCTTAGTTTTTTTGTTTGGTTCAGTTGTTCATGGTTGTGAGTTTGTTGTCATTTTAATGTTCATAGTTTTGATCTTATTTTTCTTAGATAAGTCCTTTTAACATTTCATATAGTAAGGGCTTGATGATGATGAACTCCTTTAACTTGACCTTATCTGGGAAGCACTTTATCTGCCCTTCCATTCTAAATGAGAGCTTTGCTGGATAGAGTGATCTTGGATGTACTTTCATGACTTGGAATACTTTTTTTCAGCTCCTTCTTGCCTTTCATGACTTGGAATACTTTTTTTCAGCCCCTTCTTGCCTGTAAGGTTTCTTTTGAGAAGTGAGATGATAGTCTTATGGGAACTGCTTTGTAGGTAACTCTCCTTTTCTCTTGCTGCTTTTAAGATTCTCTCCTTATTCCACTGGCAGGTGTGGTTCAGTGGTTTGAGTGCTGTCCTGGCAACCAAAGAGTTGCTGGTTGGATTCCCAGTCAGGGCACATGCCTGGGTTGCGGGCCAGGTCCCCAGTAGGGGGCGCACAAGGGGCAACCACACATTGATGTTTCTCTCCCTTTCTTTCTCCCTCCCTTCCCCTCTCTCTGAAAATATATAAATAAAACCTTTTAAAAAAAAGATTCTCTCCTCTAATCTTACGTAACTTACTTATGATGTGCCTTGGTGTGTTTCTCCTTGGATCCAACTTGTTTGGGACTCTCTGAGCTTCTTGGACTTGCATGTCTAGTTCCTTCACCAGCATTGGGAAAGTTTTCCTTTGTTATTTTTTCAAATAAGTTTTCAATTTCTTGCTCTTCCTCTTCTCCTTCTGACACCCCTATGATTCGGATGTTGGAATGTTTCACATTGTCCCAGAGGTTCCTAAGCCTCTCCTCATTTTTTTTGAATTCTTGTTTCTTCATTCTTTTCCAATTGAATATTTATTTATTCCTCCTGTCCCAAATCATTGATTTGAGTCCTGGTTTCCTTCCCTTCGCTGTTGGTTCCTTGTATATTTTTCTTTATTTCACTTTGTATAGCCTTTACATCTTCCTGTATTTTGTGACTGTACCGAATCATTTCTGTGAGCATCCTGATTACCAGTGTTTTGAACTTTGTATTTGGTAGGTTGTCTCTGTCCTCATTGCTTAGTTCTTTTTTTTTGGAGCTTTGATCTGCTCTTTCATTTAGGCCCTGTTTCTTTGTCTGGGAGCACCTGGTATGTTGTAAGGGGCGGAGCCTTAGGTATTGGCTTGGGTGGGGCAACCCAGTTCCCCTTGTTGTCGGGCTGTATGTGGGGGAGGGGTCAGGGTGGAGCAATGCTGCTTGCTTGCCATTCTGCGGGGCTTTCAGTCACTTCTCACAAGTGGATTGTGCCCTTTCAGGTGCTGATTCCCAGGTGGGTGGGTTTGTATATGTCTAGAGTCCCATGGGCCCCTCCAATGGACTCTCCTGTGAGGCTGGGAGTTTCTCCCACTGCTGCAACCCCCACAGGTTTTTACAGTTCGAGGTTTTGAAGCTTTAGTTTCCTCACTGGAGCTGTGGGTTGCACAGTCTGTCTTGTTCCCTAGCAGTTCCTCCTGGTTTATCTGCCTGCGAATGTGGGACCCGGGGTATGCCATCTTGCTGGAGATTTCTCAATGGACGGTGCTCCACAGCAGGTAGATCACTTGAAGTTGATAGCGATCAAATTGAGACATTAATTGAGAACAGTCAACGTTCTACCATGCGGGATGTAGACAACATACTCAAACTATCCACACCAATAAAGTTATTGGTGAAAATGAATAATATGTCTTTTATTTCACAGAAAAGACAAACAGACCTTTTGGGCAACCCAACATTTCTCTTCAGCGACTTTCTCCTCAAATTCTTTGTTGTTTGGTTGCCATTCAACAGACCTAAACTGGGCATGTAAAATGTGCCCTGTGAAGGGGTGGCCCCGGGCCAACTGGAGCGGCTTCCCATTGCAGGAACCGGTGACGCTCAGGGACGTGGCGGTGCTGTTCACCCAGGAGGAGTGGGCCCAGCTGAGCCCCGCGCAGCGGGGCCTGTACAGGGACGTGATGCTGGAGAACTGCAGCCACCTGGCCTCTCTGGGTAAGTGCGCCACCCCGCAGGCTCGCCTTTCTTCGACAGCTCTCTGGGGCCTCCGACTGGCAGCACAGAGCAGGTGGAGCTGGGTGCAGGCTGGCTGAACCTGTTACTTTTAAGTCTGCGACCTGCCTGTCCTTGGTGTCCTGGGCACAGGACTCTTGGAGCCTATGTTGAGTAGGAGGACGTGGGAACAGGCTGTGCCTTGGGCCTGAGCCAACTTTTCATCCTTAAGTGGTTTCTACCGCGGGCCTTCCTACCCGGTCCCCTTTTCCAGGAGGTTCTGAGGACTAGATCTTGATCTCGCGGTGGTTTTTTTCTGTAGCACGAACAGATGTGGTCCGTTTTTCCCCCTCAAAAACAGGGCTCCTAGGACCCAAACCAGATCCATTTGGTCAGCTGGGAAAAGGGGAAGAATGGACAGCGGAGGTCGCCTCACGAGGCTTCTGCCTGGGTAAGGCCCTGCGTGTGGGGGGCGCCAAGGGGACTCAGCAAACGTGCCAGGCCTGTGGCCGGAGAAAGGAGCGTCTCCTCTTTTCTGTTAGCCTCAGACCTTGCTGCCACGTTTGTCCCACAGCCATATGTCGCCCGCTCCTTGTGGCGATGTGTGCCTCCCAAGCCCCTCCCCTCGGGGTTTTTCTTCTCTCCCTGTCTGGCCCGGACGAATCGTCTCCAGTTTGGGAAAGACCTCACATGCCACCTGGGCAGCTGCTCCACCAGGTCCCGTGGCCCGTTCAGCATGTGACAGTGTGGTCTCTGCCCTCGCTTCCCCAGGGAGGAGGGGCTTCCCTGGGGCGCCCACGGCAGGCCGGCTTCTTCAAGGTCGAGGGCCAGTCCCTGTGCGCCCCCGAGGTCGCTCTTCCAGCTGAACCTCGCGCGTTCCTTCAGCCGCCGCCGCCTCTGCTCATTCACGCACACACGCATTCAGCCTGCGTATAGTTATTCTCCACCTTCTGCGACTAGCACGGGGCTGAGAAGCACTGCGAGGGCACTTCTGGGTCACGCCCAGCTCAATGCATGGCACCTGGTGGGTGGTACAGACTTGCTGCCTAAGGACACAGGGCATGTGACCGTTTAGTGGCTGTCACTTGCCTCGAGGAGCCCACGGTCTGGGAGCTTGCGCGCAGGAGCAGGGCTGCCTCTTCTGCCCGGCAACGCTCCCGGGAGCGCATTGCCTTAAGCGGGACGTTACGGCCTTTCACTATCACTGCTGCGTCTGCAGACTCTACAGTTTACATGCTTTTAAAAAGCTTTTGTTAACTGATGTTTCACAGTAGCCCAGTGAAGTAGGCAGGAATTTATATCCTACAGAAAACAACTATATCGCTAGAATGTCTAGGACCTAATCTGTTAGAGAGTCTAAACGTCTTAACTCCAGTATCGTTCTGAATTTGTATCTCTTATTACAGCCAAACTAAGGCATTTTAGTATTTCATTCTGCATTACACAAGCAGTGTTATAACAGCAAAGGGGCAGTTAAACAGGAAGCTCCGTCACTGTCCTACCCCTCTGGCATCATGGCCTATGCGCTCTCCCATTACCTGCGTATTTTTCTCTCAAATGTTTTGGGAATTTTTTTAGAGAACCAGCTCTTTTTTTTTTTTTCATTCTCACCTGAGGACATGCTTATTGATTTTGGAGAGAGAGGGGAGTGGGAGAGAGAGAGAGAAGAGAAATATGATGTGAGAGAGAAACATTGATCAATTGCCTCGTAGATGCTCCTACTGGATACCAAACCCACAACTCAGGCATGTGCCCTGACTGGGAATTGAACCAGTGACCTTTTGGTTTATGGAATGATGCTCCAACTGAGTCACACCTGCCAGAGCCAGCTCTTACTTATTTCTCTGACAGACAATTTTATTTCCACACTTAGCATTGTCATTTGCTTTTCTTACCTTAAAGTATATTTTGAATACTGTATATCCTAGATACAAAAGAGGATAGGTAGTATTTTTGAACAGCTTGAAGAATAAAGAAGTAACAGCCATACCCCACTGTCCAGCTTAAGAAACAGGACATGGAGGCACACATGCAGCCTGGTGTGCACCCCCCTTCCCACCTTCCTGCTGCTGTTCCAGGGGCCGCAGCTCGCCTCGGCCCCAGCAGCTCTGTGCTGCTCTCCACGGCTTTGCCACGTTTGCCCACAGCTCTGAGCAGCTTGTTCCTGTGAAGCCTGAGGTCTGTGCACTGTACAATAAATACCTTCCCACAACATCCGTTTTTAAATCCACGTTGAGATGTGTAGCTTTACATCTTTTTTTAACTGCACTTTGATATTCCTTTCATGACTATCCCTTTATTTATCCCTTCTCTTGCTGATAGACCTGGAGGTTTCCAGACTTTTTGCTATTTTGAATAGTGCTGACCTGAATTTTGTACATTCTTCCTTTTATACACGTGGGCCTTGTTTGGGACTTTCTTTAGTGTATTCAGAGGTGTAGAAATACTGGGTTTAAGGGTATATGCTTCTTCAACTCTCCTAGATTTTCCCAAATTGCTGATTAGATTCGTTCCAAATTATACTAATAGTTGATGTAAGTTCCTGTTACTTTATATTCTTGCCAAAATTTGGAACTTTCAGATGTTTAAAAATTCTCCAAGTCCCATTTTTGAGAAATGGTATCTGATTGTGGTATTAAATTGCATTTTCTTGTTTACTAGAGAAGTTGAACATCTTTTTATATGTTGCTTATTTGTGTTCTATAACTTAAATATTTATATTCTTTGCCAAATTTTTAAATTATAGTTATCTTTTTCTTTCTCATTTCTAGGAGTTTTATATATTCAGCAATCAGTTAATCTGTATTTCAGTTTATAAGTTATCTTTTTATTTACCAACAGAAATTCTTAATTATGAACGGGACCAGATCAGTCTTTATCTTTATGACCCTTCTTTTAGTGCCTTCTCTGTCCTGCTCAATACTCCTTTCTGCCCTCAGACCCATGAGGGAAGGACTTGGTCTTGTTTGCTTTGGTGTCCTCAGCACCCCAGCTCCCAGAGTGTATTTGTTGCGTGAAAGCATGATTTCTAATAATATTCATTTACTTTTGTCTTTTTTTCTATGTAAGTCTCGTCAGAGGTTTGCTTTCTTAGTAGACTTTGTAACTGAATAAATGTTTGACTTAGCTGATCTTTTCTATTTTATCTTGATCCATTTCATTAATTTTTGCTTTCCATTATTTCTTTCCTTTGACTTTTTTAGAGTTTATTCTGTTCTTTTTTATTTTTAGAATTAAATTTTGTCAAAGTAATACATGGATTCGGTTTAATGAAACTGCAATGTTCGTTACGGAAAACAGCGGCCCCTGGCCCTCCCCCTCCATACTCTCCCATCTTCAGAACTAAGCGCTTCCTCTTCTTGCAGCTGATTATTTGGTCTTTTTGCTTCCATGTCTCCAAGTCCTATGTTTGTATTTCTACCCCTTGACTTTTCAGATTTAGGCCTTATTTATTGAATTCCTCCTATAAAAACTGAGGGTGAAACTCACCGCCTTCTCCTTCCCTGACTTCCCAGCAGAGCTGTAGAGTCGTTCTGGTCCCAGCAGTGGTCGGTGTTTACATCCTCAAGCGCTGTTCACCACTGGTCCCCGTGGTCAATTATGACAGCTTTTGCTTCCCTAAGCAATCTGTTCCCAGCATCCACTGGTTCTTCATAGCTTCTTTTAATTTCAGTTAATCGCAGCTCTCCTCCAATGGCCTACGTCTCTTTGCAAGACTTTCAGCTTCATCAGGCAAGGTGACAGTTTCATTTTCCTGGAAAAGCCTCTTCTGGACCGTATGTGCTGAGCCTGCAGCATCCTAGAGCAGCTGGCACCCAGCTCTCACCCCACTGCGGAGCCCCCCATCCCGGGCTGCATGTCCCCATGGCCTTCCTGCTTCGTCTGCTCCCTTCTTTTGGTGGTGCACATCCTGCAGTAGCTTCCTGAGGAAGAACGTGTGCCGTGTGTGAGTTCGTTTTTCGTAGCCTATCATGTCTGTAAATGTCTTTCTGTGCCCTGACACTTTCTGGGTAGTGTGATTAGATAGAATTCAGCACTGGAAATCTTTTTCCTTCTGAATTTTGAAGACATTGATTGGTTTCTGGACCTTAATCTACTCTTGTGAAATACAAAATCATTGAGTCTTCATGAGCTGTGGCCTGTTCCCCTCTCCAAAAATGGGCAGGAGCTCCTCCTTGTACTCCAGTGTTCTGAAGTTTCCAAGGGAGGTACCTGGCATGGTTCTGTTTGTATCCACTGGGCTTCTGTGAGGCCCTGCTGGATCGTTTGGTGAGGCCTTCCCATCTAACATGCTTGCCCTTTGCATTTTGTGTGACTGCTTATCCACCATGACAGGGAGTTGAACTAACTTATCCCTATTGGTTTTAATAGTACTTATTTTATTTTTTAAAAGATTTTATTTATTTTTAGAGAGAGGGGATAGGAGGGAGAAGGAGAGAGAAAGAAACATCAATGTGAGAGACAAATATCAATTGATTAGCTCTTGTACATGCCCCAACCTGGGACTGAACCCACAACCCAGGCATTTGCCCTGACTGGGAATTGAACTGGCAACCTTTCATTTTGAGGGATGACGCCCAACCAAGTGAGCCACTCTGGTCAGGGCAATAGTACATTTTTTTTTTTAAAGCCTATAAACATTCAGTAAAATTTAAGTGAAGTTTTTATATATTAATTTATACCTCAGCTCTTCCAGGTTCATGTTGACAGTTTATGCTTCTCTCTTCGAGGACAGCAAATTTGTATTTTAGCTTTGGGATCTTCTTTAAATTGTCGGTGTGTGTGTGTGTGTGTGTGTGTGTGTGTGTGAGAGAGAGAGAGAGAGAGAGAGAGAGAGAGTTATTAAAGTTACTATTCAGTCTTCACCATTGTCAAATTTCTAGGCATTTGGTTGGAAATACTTTGGCTTTGGACTTGATTGGAGAATTTAGAATTAAAAGGCAGTGCAAATATTTTTATTATCAAAGGAACATTTTAATCCACACTGTGTTGTTAGACATTTTATTCTTTTGTAAGCTAACTCATTTTTTATGTTTTTTTATAATGGCTAGCATTGTACCTAACGTGTGCTCAGAATTTGTTGAATTGTTCCCAGTTTAAATCAATAAACAATATGTTATTGTTCTTTTGAAAAAGCAAATAAAATGCCTGCCCTTTGGTTCTTCAGTTACAGTCGAGACATTTTCTTCTGTTACTGTTTGATTTCCACCTTCAGTTTTCTCTTTCTGTCCATGGAATGCTCCTGGACTGGTCTTCTAATTTTCCTTTTATTAAAATTTTCATCTTTATGCTTTTTTGATATACTTCTTGACAGATTTTTTTTCAATTTTATCCTCCACTTCATCTGTTGAGGTTTTTACTTATTTGTGTAAGTTATATTTTGTTGATTATGCTGTTACAGTTGTCCTGACCTTCCCCGTTGCCCCCCTGCACCCAGCACCCCCCACTCCC